AAAAAAGACAGACATAAAAGGCCACACATATTGCATGATTTCATTTAAATAAAATGTCTGGAATGGGCAAATTCCTAGACTCAGAGAGTAGATTAATGATTGCCAGGGACTGGGGGAAGGAGGTATGGGGAGTGACTGCTAATGTGTATGGGGTTTCTTGACGGGGTGGGGGTGGGTGATGAAAATGTTCTGGAATTATGGAATGGTAACGGTCATACAATCTCGTGAACATACTACAAAACCGCTGAATCGTATACTTTAAAATGGTAAATATGGTATATGAATTGTATCGCAATTAAGGAAAAAATAAATATATACACACAATTAGATCCATGAAAATACCAGTCTATAATAGATTGGAAATTTAAATATCTGGTCCTTCACCAAACATGGTTGAGAATCACTGCTTTAACCAGTTCTGTGAGTTCTTGGCTGACTGGCTAGCCCCTAACCTTGCTCGCCCCTCTTCCTCCTCCTCCTCCTCTTTCTCTCTCTCTCTCTCTCTCTCTCTCTCACTCACACACACACACACACACACACACACACACACACAGAGTGACAGGGGCTGTCCACCATCATGGTTTAGGGATAGGGCTGCTAAGGTCACATTCGCTGGACAAAGGCTGTGCGCCGTGGGCTAGCCCGAGCACCCAGCCGTCAATCATGAAAGTGTTCTGAGCTCCGGTGGAAACAGTTCAAAATTAAGCACTAATTTAAATTAACCCATTGTTTGACCTAACATCTATACTGAATTAAACATTTTTTATGCCAAACACTCAGACACCCATTGTCAGCTTTATTTAAACTGTCCGACGTAAGTGAACCTGGGGAGGGCAATGTAAAGAATACAGTGAATGCGTTCTGGAAGCTACCTACCATTACGGCGCCATTATCCTGGCCCACGAATATCCGTCTGCTGTCGTGATGGTAAGCCATGGCGGAGCAAGGAGCTGCCGGAAAAACAAAGACCACGTTACACGCAAGGCTGAGCATTTTAAGTCACTGTTCAAAGCATATTATCATTAAGAAGAGCTATGTAATTTTGGTTAAAATTGAGTTAAAAGAGGGTACACATTTCTGCTGCTAAGGGCATAAATGTTTTGTTAAAAAACATGTAAATTTAAAATGTTATTTAAGTTCTCTCTGCTGTTTTAGTTTAAAATACTAATTTTACAAACCTTCTCAATTATTTCTATAGCTTTGGGTGAAGCGAGCTGGCATGAAGTTTCATTGATTGAAACTCCTACCTGTGCCTGGCAAGGCTGAGGACCCAGGGTGATCTGATGTCCCAACACCCAGGAGCTCACGCTGCCCCTGCCACCCTTCCCCATTAAAGGCCAAAGAGTAGCTGGAACGTGTGCAAAAATGGGTTCCCTGCACCGGATTGCCCATTCCACGGCATACGTGAGCAAGCTGGGGAAGCCACCTTGAGATTACTTTTTTCAATGGTCAAATGGTCAAAAAATGTTCGCTTTTGCAATGACACACACAACTCGGTTTGTAGTGATTGGAGTTCTGAGATGTAGAGAGGTTTCTTTGTCCACAGCATTGTTACGTGTGTGGGATAACACCTGCCTCTTCTCATAAACACTCCCCTTCAATGTTCTACCTGCCCTTCCAGAAATCATGCACCAGAGAATGACTTTCAGAGAGAAGAAACTCTAAATTGTCTTCCTCCGCTAAAAATCAGAATTAAAATGATTTATAAAATAGAACATTTGGAAAAAGAAATGTTTGGGTTCACTCTGGCCTAAAGAATTTTAGTTAATAAGGAAAGAATCACAGCAAGGAAATGTATGCCAGGAAAAAACAAAACAAAATAAAATAAATGAACTTGAGTTTACTTTGAAATAAAACTGCTCATAAAAAAAGTAAAAGCCAGGCTTGGTGGCTCATGTCTGTAATCCCAGCACTTTGGGAGGCCAAGGCAGGTAGATCACTTGAGGCCAGGAGTTCCAGACCAGCCTGGGAAACATAGCAAGACCCTGTCTCTACAAAAAATTAAAAACATTAGCCAGGCACGGTGGCATATGACTGTAGTCCTAGCTACTCAGGAGGCTAAGGCAGGAAGATTTCTTGAGCCTGGGAGTTCGACATTGTAGTGAGCTATGATTGTACCACTGCACTCCAGCATGAGTGACAGAGAGAGACTGTCTCTTAAAAAAAAAAAAAAGTTAAAGAAAAAAAAAATCTTCTAAATGAAGTCACCATCTGCATCATCTGCATATAAAGTTCCCTCTCTACAATGGGCCAATATTCTCCAACAAAGGAAGAAAGTAAACTATAATACTGGATTGTACTCAAAAGCTAAAACAAGCTCACTGCATGATCAGACTATAGAAAGATACTGTTTCAGCTGCATTCAAGAACTACGCAGTTAAAAGGAAGGTATTGAAATTGTGCACAATTAGAATTGACTATGAGCCCGTATACCCTTATCCATAATATTGATATTTCAGATTAAAAGAATGACCATATTTAAGAATTACAACCACAAAGATATACATATCCTCATATAATCAAAATGCTCTTTAATAATCATGCATAAAATTATTTTTGACAAATCAATCATGCTCTGATTTCAAAATTCATTGTCATCATTTTTGCTTGCTCTCACATTGATACTAAATCTTAATGCATTAGTTTTAAGTGTCAATTCTTTTTATGCCTGACTCTACAACAAACTACATAAAAATATAAGATCCCTCTTTTGTGTAAAAATTATAATGTGCTGGATAATTTTATAAAGCTAGAGAATTTTCACACACTTAAAAAAAAAAGCTTCTCTAGTTTGTTTTGTATATAATGATGTCCTGGATTTCTTCCTAGAAGGGAGGTTTCCATTGAGATAAGCAATATAAATTTAAAATAGAAGCGGGGGGTTGGATATTCACTTAGTTTTATAAATAAGCAAAACACAAATTATCTTCCAAACCAGTGAACTTTTTAAAAAGGCATCAAGGCAGTAAAAAATCAAATGCTTAAAACTCTGGATCAGACCAGTGGGCCAAATCCCAGCCTGCTACATGTTTTGTTAATAAATAAAGTCTTTTTGTTTTTTTGGAACACAGCTAGGCTCTTTCATTTATGCACTGTTTATGACTGTTTTCATGCTACATGTATGTATTGTTTATGACTGCTCATGCTACATGGCAGAGGTGAGTCATTGCCACAGAGGCTGTTGGCCCACGCAGTCCAAATGTTTCCTGTCTGGCGTTTTGCAAAAAAAGTTTGTGGCCTTGCCCCATAACTGTGGTGGGTAGCACAGTTTCAGACTCATAGACAGGCATGGATTGGAATTCCAACCACAAGCAATCAACTTAGCCCCTCTGGCCTCAGTTTCCTCATGCACAAACAAAAATCTCATCTACCTTGCAGAGCTTTTAGGATGATTTCATAAAACTCTATTACCAAAAAAAGGTATGAAACACACAGTAGGCATAGATTCTGAAAGTTACTTTTGGTATGTGAGGTAACGTTATGGAACATAATTGGACTACATATAGTAATACACTGTTTGGCTGACTGCCCACTCTGTCAGGTCACAGGAAAAAGCTTAAGTTGGTGGAGAACCACTAAAACATCCTACATTAGGTAATCTGCAGATAGCTTTTAGAACCAACATGGTACTTTGCTTCTAATATTTTGAATTTAACTTTGAAATAAAAGCCGTTCTAAAACAGACAAGCAGTTATTTCTCATAATTCATTCACTGTTTTCTCCTTGTGGTGTTCTTGCAGCTTGATCAGCAGATCCAGGTCCAAATGGAGACAATAAAGCAGCAGCATCTGGAAGCAACACGCTGCAAATGTGGAGATATAAATAGGCAGGTGCCGGCCACCCACTGCAGAGAAGCTGTGGCTGTTCTTTCACGTCCCTCCTTGCTAGGCTGGGAATCCTTCACACAGGTAAGCCAACTTAGGGAGGGATGGGGACAGAGAGAGCCATAGCCACTTTCCCAAGATCCAGTGGGCAAGAGAGAGTGCACATTTCTGCTTGCTGGGGTTTTGGTAGGAGAGAAATTAATTGCAAAGTTGTACTAAATATCTAGGGAAAATACAAGCCAAGAAGTAACTGAACTAAATATAGGACAAAATCCATCTCAGTCTCTGTCTCTATTCCAATGAGCATGAACCCCAAGGCTGAGGACTCAAGGATTAAGCTATGACCAAAACATTAACTATGGAGGAAGGGAGAGGTGGGAGGAATAACAGCAATAGCATTAATGAGATTTTCCACAATGACAGCACATCTTTCCCCAACACTGGTATGAGTTCCTTAGGCTGTTGCTACTTCTAGCTATCTTCTGTATCACTGGGCCACTGGGAAGTAAGGAGTTATCAGCCTAACAGAAGCCTTTATTTTGGAGTGGGGGGGTAAAGGGTGGGCTCAGAGGCCCAGGGTGTCCCACTCACCTCTGCCCTGCTCTCGAAATTCCCTAAGTAAATGTCAGACAGGCTCCATAAGCACCTTTACTAAGACATCGGTCACTTCATAGTCCAAGGTGGGAATTCAGCGTGAGAAACCAAGGTTACGCACTCACTGTACGTGCCGACATGGGTAACAAGGAGATGCTTCTGCCGGGCACAATGAATTATGGGCAGGTTTTTAAGTAGTAGTCAAATGTGCTATGTATTGTAAAGTTTTACTGTTCCTTTTATAAGAGTTGTCTTTATACTGGTGTTCCAAAAGTCATTCATTTTCATCGAATGATTATCAAGACGGAGAAGTTGACCAGCCTGCCTAAGCTGTTCGTAGAAGGTAGAACAAATAAAAATTCCTAATAAACTAATTTTTTGTGAAAATTATTACAGGATCTAACCACTACATACATAATGGAATATATGTACAAATGAGGAAGTGCTAACCGACAAGAGTGGTGCTTAGAAGAAACATACAGACTGATTAAGCTCTGGAATACCTGTGAGAAAGCTGTGAACAGTGTTAACGGCATCTGAAACAATTGTCAAGAGCTCTTCTTTGGAAAACTTTATAATGGCCTTCAGTAACAAACCATCAGGCACACACCAAAGCCTTTTTTCTTTTCCTAGGGAGTCCTCTGAATATTGAAACACTAAGCTGAGGAAAATCCCTCCTTAAGGAACAAAAGCGCAAGGAAACCAGCAGCTACGGACCTTATGCATGGCTACCTGGGATGGCAGGATTGAACTCCCCGTTTGGGCTTGGGTGACACCCAGGCATTCTCTGCGGTCTTTCTTTTCAAGAAAGGCTGAAGAAAAGAAGAGAGAAGGATGGCAACGCTGCCTAGATGTGCAGGAAGTGTTAGAATTTACATGCAATCTTACGTCACTACCTCCCAGAGCTGTTTTAAAGCCTTAATGTAGAAGCTTTATTGTCCAGATTTATTTTTAGAACATACCTAAGTGAGAAATTCTCTATTTAGAATGTGTTGTACCTTAGAACACATCTCTCAACAGGACCCAGAGCTCTATGAAAACATTGGGCAAAGGCCTGGTCAAAGCTACGGAGGGTCCAGGGTCCTTTTTCAGTGTTAGTATCAGCTGCTACTAAGTATAAACTTACTACTAACCTAAGTCAGCCAAATTAAGACAAAGAAAAACCAGGGAGCAACGTGCCTTTTCCCTTTTTTTCCCCCAGTTTTGCTCAAGCCGGCTTCAGTTAAGCCAGTAGATCCAACTTCCTTTGCAAAAGAAAAGGAGTTTTCCTGCCGTGTATTACAGCCCGTGTATTACAGTCAGAGGTATTAGGCAACCAAGATACTCATTTTGAAATCTGGTAGCGATTTTCAACCAGACGCTTTGATGAAGAAATCATCAACAACACTGGGACGTTTTCTTCACGTGGAGAAGCTCAGCTACTTACAGGCCATGGTGTGGTAGATGCTGGGCCAGTACTGACCACTGTCTCTTTTCAGCCAAACTCGGATGGTTCTGCGGAGAAATGAAAAGAAGAAAGAGTAGTTGATAGTAATTTTATCTTCTTTTGTGTTCCAGGAAAACTGAATTTTTTAAAAAACTTTCAATACTGTTTCCTAGCTGACCTTATAAGGTTAATCAATTAGATAAATATATGTATGTGTACACACATATATATAGTATATAGCATATAACAGATACTATATAAACACATATAGTTACATATAGCATAATGGCATATGATAAGTTATATAGTACTTAGGAGTCAAGATTTCAAATAATTTTAATATGGAAATGTTCGTTACATAGTGACATACAAAGAAAACTGAGGACTGTTAATTGCTTTTTTTCGTAAAAACAAATTGTGTGAGCTTGGTTGCTCGACCACCCGAGCCCACTGAGGAAGCAGGGGCGTAAGTGGAAAGAAGCTGCTGATGGAGAGGGGAGTCCGCAAGGATGAGAGCACACGGCGCGGCTCGATCCCTGGTCTTAATCAGTCTCCCCTCACAACCCCCACCCCCCCCGGGGGGGGAAATCGTTCCACACCATGTCCCTGGGCCCCTCTTTCATCAACAGAACACGCACAGGGCGACAAGGAAATCCTGTGCATGTGCAGGAAAATGACAAGCGATCAAAATAACCGGAGTTTAATCTCTGGGTTTATTACCTTGGAAGGACAACGGGAGCACTGTGCCGCCCGCCCCTGCGCGCTCACAGGCCCCTCTGAGCCCGGCCTCTTCCCCCACTGCATCCCCAGGATGTGCACGGACTTCCCTGGGGCTTGCCCTGCTCGGCCCCTGAAGATCATCGCAACTAGCTTGTCATCCCCACTGGCAACTCTGTCGTATTTTTACATTGTTAATAGCAACATAGATTCTGGCACGTGGTAGGTGCTGAGTAATTGTTTACAACTTTAAAATACATGAAGACTAAATGTTGATATTATACATTTTCATTTTTTTTTGAAGGTCAAAACAAGTAGAGCTGATTGGTGGGCCTTGAGGCAGTGAGTCTGCACCTGGGCGGAGGCGGTGTCCTCCCTGTCCCCCGGCCATCGTGGCTTCATCGAGGCGGTAACCACCTCCCCACACACAAGTCCAAGGCCCGGACGCCAGATGCACACCTGGGCAAGCACAAGGGAGAGAGCCCGTTTGTGACTCTGAAGGGTGTGGCACAGCCTTCATCAGGGACTGCCTGCCTGACTTGAGTCTCCACGTCCTGAGTCACACCAGAGAAAAGCCATTTCTTTGTGTAGCTAGTGGCTATGATCAAAAATTCAACACAAAATCAAACCTGAAGAAACATTTGGAATGCAAACATGAAAATCAGCAAAAACAATACGTATGCAATTTGAAGGTTGTAAGAGGCCTTTAAGAAACATCAGCAGCTGCAAATCCACCAGGGCCAGCACACGAAGGAACCACCAACCCAGTGCCAGGAAGGACGTGGGAAGCACTCCACCCTCCCGACCTCCAGCGGGCTGGAGCGACTCGGCAAGGCCCACGAGGGCTACGCGGTACGTGTCAAAAGAGATGTTCCTCTGCGGCAAAAATATGGACAGAATTTCCGAAACATGTGAGAGAAACCCCTAAGGGGGGAGTAACACGTGAAGCATTCCAGAAGACATGTACATGGAGAGACTATCTTAAGCAACACATAAGAACTCATGCCCCAGGAAGGGATGTATGTCGACGTCCATGTGGTAGAACCTATACAACTGTGTTTAATCTCCAGGGCCACATTCCTTCTTTTCAAGATGAAAGCACCCTTCTGTGTGAGCACACCTGGCTGCAGCAAAATCTCTGCAATGAAACACAGTCTCACTAGGCATGGCTGTGCATGATCCTAACAAGAAGAAAATGAAGCTCCAAGTAAAACCATCTTGTGAAAAAAGGAAGTTTGGCCTCTTGCCTCAGTGGATATGTCTCTCCTCAAAGGAAACAAGAAGAGCAAGGCTTATCTCTGCCTAAAACAGAGTCGCTGAACTGCACGGACGAGGAGATGCTCTCAAAACTTGGAATACTCACCCTCAACTAAACATCACCCTGCTTTGTTTAAATGACCACAGACCAGTGAGCTTAGTTGTTTTTCTCTCAGAAGCATATTTTTCTTTATTAAAATCACTCATGCAGAAATAAAAAAAAAAAGACAAGTAAAATTGGTCAGAGACCAGGGATAAAAATCAGAATAGTGGTTGCTTCTGGGGACAGAGGAGGACAGGAGGTAAAGGGATGTAAGGGAACTTTCTAGGGGAATGGCAAGGCTCTGGGAGTTGGTTACCATGGGTGTATGCATCTGTTAGACTTGTCCAACTCTACCTAAGATCCATAGAGATTACTGTTCATGATTAAAAGAAAATGAAAACTAATAGTTGACCTTCATTCATCCAAATAAATAAGATGATCTAGCACCACAGTGAGAGTAATGCTATTTTGTACGTGAACAGGATACAAGCCTTAGGGCTAATGCAATCTCGTCAAGTCTCTAGATCCACCTACCGATTTACAGAAAACACAGAGGAACACATTAAACACAACCACAGGGGTGCATTCAGCAACATTAAGACTGCAAGGAAGTCTATAGATAAATGACTCAGTTTCTTCTACAAATAATTTGCAAGGGAAAAAAATAGAGATAAAGGATAAGCCAAGCCCATGGTGAAAAAGGTCTTAGGGCTCTATCAGGCAATTACAATGTGTAGGCTTATTTAGAACCTAATTCAAGCTATAAAATATATGTATACCATTAGAAAACAATTGGATTTGATATTAAAAAGTTATTGTTTATTTCTTTAGGTGTGATAATGGCACTGCTGCTTACTTCTAAGTAGTAAACGCTAATTTCTAAATACCATAGTGGCCCTCATTTGTCATCGTTAGCATGACCGCCGCGGTCCAGGTCCTCATCATTCCCACCGCAGTCAGCCTCCTCTCACATGGTGCCTAGTGGGCTCTTTCCTCCCTCTGGTCCACCTCCAGCACATCCACTGTCAGCTACAGCTCCCACGAGCCGCTTGCATCACACTGTTCCTGTGCTCAGAATCTGCTAGCAATTACCTCAAATCCGGGTTCAACTGACAAACTTATTCCCTATGACTCCCCAGCCCAGACCCTACATCCCAGCGAGCCATCATCCTCATGTTCCCCAAATAGGCCCAGTGCAGGTTATGCCCTAAGCCTACCTCCCTCCCCACCCTAGCAAGAACTCTTCTGTCTAGACGGAGGTTTTCTGTGCAGATCACAGGATGGGTACCATTTCGGCACAATGCCTTCATCGGAAAGAGTCAATGGAAGCTTATATGGTGATCCTTGGGCTTGAACTCTTAATGTGCTGTTAGTATGTTGACTATATTCTATCTCACTTAAATCAGAATGCTTATGGATACATTCCAACATAGGGAATGAAACCAAAAGAGCTGCAGCAAGTGAAAGGGCAACTCCCAGCTAAGCACTAATCTGTTCAAAAATTCTACACTTCCAAATGCATGGTAACAAAGGCCAAGGCACAGGGAGGTCACGGCTTCACGCAGGGCCACTTCAGGCTTACTGGCTTCATTTGTATGAGGATCACAAAGGGATGAAATCTGCCAGCTACCTAGCTGTCAGGGTTTTTAGGTCTAAGGAAGAGCAGAATGCTGATGCATTCCAAAACTCTCCAAATCAATCCCAAATGTCTTGGGTCATGACTGTGTAGGTTGCTCAAAGGATCTGTGGCACATGCTCTTCCCTCTGTACTCTTGAAAAGAGTGGTAACATTCAGATATCAGAGAACTCTACTGTGAGGAGGAAATCTTAAAGGTTGTCTCTTCTACCCAATCATGTAACCTGGAAAAGTCTAATTTTAATTTCATACAGTTTCAAAATGATATTTAAATTAGCTCAAGGTCTGAATGGGAACCTACCCAGACTCTAGCATTTTCTAACACAGTATTAAAACATCAGCAAACAATTTGGTCTGTACAAATTGGACCCATCCTAGGACAAAACTAACAAACTGATCTCTTAGGGTGTTTCCTTTGAAAACTGTTTATGACACTCAGGCCATCCTTGTTTGGGAATCAGCTTCTAAATTAGGTACGTCACCTCGATAGCCGGCTCTACCTCTGTATTCACTTCTCCATCCAGAATTCCCTTCCTTCTCTTTACAAGCCAGAACCTTCCCTTTCCTTACACATTGCTAAAATCTTCCACTTCCAAAATTAAATCAAACCAATATTAAGTTTAACCCTTAACACTCTGGCACTCCCAAGAACCTAAGTATTAAACAGAGTTGCCTAATTTCTATGAGTAATTTGTATTATGTCCAAAATATTTCTTATTAATTTAACAAATGGTTGTAAAAATAGGTTTAAGTGGGGCTACTTATTTAAAAATAAGCAAATTCCAGACTAAAAAAATTTACAATTCAAATTGGGAGTAAAATCTCTTATTCAGTAAGTCGAAAGCAACATAATACAGTTTCGTAACATTTAATAGGAGCAAACTATTTAAACCTCTAGGATGATATTAATAAACCATCTAATCACTAGTGTCAAGATCAGATGGTTTTATTTTTACATAAGTCACAATATTTTCTGCCTAGATGAATGTCTAAGTCACTCTCTCCATGAAGATGAAATAAAACAGCTCAATTTTTTCTTTAATATTTTGACAAATTTACACCCACACACCTAAACTCATTTTATGTTTTTCTGCTGCTTTTTCTACCCATTCTTCTAGTGCCTGGATTTTCCTTTATATTCAAAGACCACGTCAATCTGGAAAAAAAAAACCTTTCCTTAAAACCACAACCTTGGAAACATGCTCATTCTTTTCCAAGCTCTATGTTTAAATTGTTTTAAAACAATAGTTTGATATTTTTCCAAAAGGTACTTACAAAGGAAATGTGTCATTTATTTCAGAGCCTACATAAATCCTTTCCAAACTTCCCCACACCACTATTCCTGTGAAAGGCTGCTACAATTCATCTCCTCTGCCCTTCCAGTTAGAGAAGCAGGGACTTACATAGAGTTGCAG